CACAGCTCCTATCTAGTCCCTATCTAGTCTGCTTATTAAATGCTGAATGTAGTTACTTCTTCAACAGAAACAGGCAATCTTTTGTGCTTCATTAAATACAGGACATTTATACTATGCACTGACGCTCTGTGAAATGCAAACACTTTGTGTATTATGTTAGCTGTGTATAGAGTCGCAGAGACAATATCACACATGAGCTGTTTTTAAGTCTGAAAAGTGACAGATGCAGTATTTTAACAAAGCAAAATGCCAGAATGATGGACTGTTAATTGGTAGCATTTGTAAATAAACCCTGTAACAAGACAAGGGCCTTATCAGCTGAGCATAGTTTGTTGTGGTTTCCCATTAACAGTCCTAACAGTTTAATTCACTCCAAAAGAATAATCACAGCGCTGATAATAAAGTCAAACATGGGATTTTATCTATTAAAAAATATTTTTATTTTATCATCCTGGACTGAAGATGTGGAGTGTACATTGGGTGGAGTACTCCTTTATGTGGAAGTAAACATGTAGAGGAAGAGCGTTTTATTGTTAGACTGGGTTCTGGCCAAGCGTTTCATGCTGGTTGTGGTATTTATGTGTATCATTAAAGAATATGTAAACCCAAAGTTTCATATTCCTCATAATTGCCTGCTGTACCATGCACTTGTATGAAAAAGTATCCTCTTCTCTTTGTATTGCTTCCTTTATGTGAAATCCCTGGTGTTCCTGACAGTCTCTCTGCTTTCCTATTAAAAACTATCCACCCTAGGCATGAGAGCACAGTGTGGTCAGTTTTCTGGCTGTTCTGGGAACTCAACCTGCTTTTCTCCAATGATTATACTTGTGCTGACATGCCCTCCAAGCATAGTCACTTTCATGTGACTTTTACACTCTATGTTGCAAGAACGTCGCATCAAAATAGTACAGGAACTATTTTTAACCACTTCAAGTCTGGACACTTTTACCCCCTTCCTGTCCAGGCCAATTTTCAGCTTTCAGCGTTGTCACGCTTTGAATGACAATTGCGCGGTCATGCAACACTGTACCCATATGAATTTTTTAGCATTTTTTTAGACAGGCAAAAGTTTATTTTGGTGTCATTTATTCACCACTGGGATTTTTATTTTTGTTTGCTATATAAATGAAAAAGTCCAAAAAATGTTTAAAAAGTGTTTTTCTTATAAAATTTTGCAAATAAATAATCTTTCTTCATAAATCTTGGCCAAAATTTATTCAGGTATCTTTTTAGTAAAAAAAAAACATAACCCAAATTAGTTTATAACCAAAAATTATAATTTTTCAAATTTTTACATTTTTTTATATTATATATATATATATATATATATATATTTTTTTTTTTTAACATACAGTCACCCTAGCAGTACAATGTCACCATAGTGAAACTGTACTACTTGCGGGGGGTGATGAAAATTTTTTTTTTACACTAATTGGTTTTACACCATTGAGAAATACTGTGTGAGCTGTGATTGGTCACAGCTTGTCACATGGTACAAGGCTGTTGTGAATAGCCTTGTACCATATGATCCCTGTGATCATTCACAGATATCACACGTAGTAAGCAATGATGTCAGAAGTGACATCTTGCTTACTATTGTTTATGTGATCACTGATTGGCCAATCAGTGGTCACATGATCGGGACCTCACACAGAGGTCCTGTACAACGATCGGTGTTCCGCTGCCCAGTTTGTGGTGCTGCTTGCTCCCAGGGCCCACACACAAGCAGGGAAGCGGAGAGATATCGTTTACAATGATCGGGACCTCACACAGAGGTCCCGTACAACGATCGGTGTTCCGCTGCGTCCTCCGGACACAGCGGCCACCAGTTTGTGGTGCTGCTTGCTCCCCAGGGCCCACACACAAGCAGGGAAGCAGAGATATCATTTATAATTGGCCACCCGCCCCTGCACTGCTCCCGTCCGGCAGTTTATATACATGGGTCGGACGAGAAGTGGTTAAAGTTACTGCGATTTCAGTCGCATATATTGAAACAAGTGCCATTGAAATAAATGGGGTGCAACTTGACATGCTACTTTATGTGTCCAAAGTTACAAGACAAGTTGCACTAATGTGAACCGAGCCTCACGGGGAAGATCAGTGTTCTGCTGTTTCTTCTGCCTGGCTCTCAGAACTCTTTATGCAGCTGAGAACAGAAGGTATGTGATCACTTATAAAAAAAGAAAAAATAGGTATTTAGAATTGTTTTTTTTTATACCTATATACAGAGGTGTCCCTAGGGTTGGTGTCACCTGGTGCGGTAACACTTGGTGACACCCCCTCCGACGATCCGTGCAGAATGGATCGGATCTGCGGATTGAGCATAATGGATCGGACTCTGATCCATTATGCTCAATCCGCAGATCCGATCCATCAGGCGGGGATCGTCAGCTTTCTTTACAACTTACCTTTTCTTGGTGTGGGTCCGGGACAACTACGCATGTCCCGGTTTCAGGCACGATAAATCAATGATAGCAGTAGTTCTATCATCGATTGATCGTGCCTGAAACCGGGACATGTGCAGTTGCCGATACACCGGTGTCACCCCGCAGGATCGTCCGCATGCAACCTATACGGGGTGACACCGGACCCGCTCCAAGAAAAGGTAAGAAAAGGTAAGTTGTAAAGAAAGCCGATGATAGTCAGCATGCTTTACAACTTACCTTTTTGTGGAGTGGATCTGGTGTCACCCCGTGCAGTCGGTGTCACCCCGTGCGGACCGCACCTGCCTCAGGATGCCACTGTCTATACACAAATCTTATGCCTTTCATTTCTGTTGTAAACTAAATGGGTTGTTTTATAAGGGGAGGGTTTACATATACTTCTCATCAATTATGTTTAATCTGATTTTAATCATTTTTTTTTTTTTAGAGAAAGAATGTACAATTCACTATAGAACAGAGAATCGTCACTGATACAAAAGCCGCAGTAAACAACTCATAGCACAACATAACAAATATTTGTGAGGTCTCCTGAAATGCCATATGAGAAAGCATGTACACATTGGGGGGATTTACTAAAACTGGAGCACTTGGAATCTGGTGCAGCTGTTCATGGTAACCAAACTTCAGCTTCATCAATTAAGCTTTGAAAATAAAACCTGGAAGCTGATTGATTTCTATGCAGAGCTGCATCAGATTGTACACTCTCCAGTTTTAACAAGTCTTCCCCATTGTTAATAAAAGCAAAATAAGGGCACTTGTAAATTTAGAGATATACTATCCTGTCTCTTAATTCCATCATCACCTATAACTTTAGGTGCACTTACTACCAGCTCAGGGCACATTAAAGGTGAATAGCTACATACAGAGAGGAAAAAAAAAAAAAAATATATATATATATATATATATACACACACATATATATATAATAACTGTTCTCCCTGCCAAAAATGTGTGTTTCTATCCATCCAGCCCTCAAATTTAAACAGCTCATCCACACAGCACATCCTGCCTAGCAGGGTAGGGGACCTGATCCGATGCTGTGTTTCCACTTTCACCTACAGACCTCCTTCTCATTCCTATCCTGTGACTAGACAGTGAAAGGAGAAGTAGCACAATATTAAGCTTATATCACTGTCATTCTCTTACCTACTCCATCAGCATGGCTGCTTGATCCTGGCTGGCTCTTTGTGCTGTTTCTCCCTCTACTTTTTAAGCTCTGCTGTAAAGACTGTATAGTAGACTGCAAGAGGCTGATACCAAATCAAATTTAGATGCTTACACCACTAGACTTAAAATAATAATATTTATTGATGTATTGAGATGCATTATCTGGCTGGAGTTCAGAGTTATGCATTCTACTACAGAGGTAAGTTTAACCCTTCCTGCCTATGGGTAAAGCAAATGTTAATGCCTAAGCACAATTTTTCAACTTTGCATATGTTAGTATAACCACACATATCATCACAACTACTTTGTGCATCCAGGTGGATTATACCTTGTTTTCTTTCAGGACAAATTAGGCTTTCATTTGGTGGTAAATGGTAATGGATATCTTCTGTTTTTTTATTATTATCGAAGGAAAACAAGCCCAAAATAGTAAAGAAAAAAATATATTTTTTTTAGATTTAGCTGTATATTTCTTGCTACTACCATGAGCTACCATAAAAGAACAACCCAAAATAAATTCTCCTGCTCCCGATTATCACAGTGATACCACATACTGTATTTGTATGTTATTTGTTCCCGTGGTACAGCCCAGTGCACATTTTGCTTTTTTTTAATCCTACCTAAAACACACTGACACCAACTGATGCTGATACTAATTTAAAAAATGTTTTTTTTTTTTAAATCCTGCCCAAAATATGCTGACCATGACCTTTGACCCTGACCTTGACCTTTGACCCTAATACTAACCCTGGTACTGATCAAAAATCCTGATCTAAGTATTGTTTCTTTTATTATTATTATTATTTTTTTTTTTTACACAAGCTTTTGTTTTCTCTCTGCAAGAAGAGAGAGAGATACAATGTAAATCTATTCTCCATTCAAAGTGAGAAAACCCAGGGGCAGGCTTAAAAGTGACTGATCACTGTGATAGCCAATCAGAGGCTATCACAGCGATCAGGTAACCCTGAACTTAGAGGTACCAATCTTTAGTGCGGGACTTAAGGTTCCCAGTGAGACCCCGGTTTCTGTGCTGGGAGCGCGCCGTGTGCTGCATGCTCAAAAAAAGTGTTTTGGTTTTTTTTAATCCAAAAAACCTTGACATGCACTTAAATAAATGACAGTGTAAAAAAATAAGTGTGAAATCTGAAAAACTTCTAATATGTGACCCTACAAATCATAAATATTAATATTGTAAATCTGAAAACTTCTAATATGACCCTACAAATCATAAATATAATATTGTGATGTCAAATTATTCTCCTTTAAACAGTGATGCTGCTGCTGATGATGAATGAATGTAAAAAGATTGCAAAGATCACCATGCATTGAAATATCTGGAAGACCATTGGCAGTGTGCATATAATAATAATACAACATACAAGTGATAAGTTTCAAAACTATATATGTATAAGTCCATTTCCACTGAAACTGTAATAAAAAGTGAATGAAATACTGATGAAAAAGTCCAAAACAATCAGTTTGTTTTTGCTTCTGCAGGTAAGTCCATCTTCCCTGAATTAATCAGATCACCAGATGGAGGCTATACAAACTTTCAAAGTGAGTGAAAGAAGCATGCAGACTTGGCTCCACAATACCTTGTGTTCCAAAAACAAACTTTCTTCCCCAATCCACTGACACTCACCAGATTTAATGGCTTATCTTTGAAATGATATGCAAACTCACTTGTAATAGTAAATTCCTCCTTACTACAGCTCTTCTTCCATATCACTTGTGACAGCAGACAAAAAACCAATCACGCTCAGCGGCGGTGAATCTCAATTAACAATAACCTTTCCTCCAAAAGAGGACAAAAAAATGCTAAAAACACCATTTATTAAATCTACAATAAAACTACTCACAAACATAAGTTGGATGCCAAACAATCATCATCTCGCAATGGTGTAGTATGTCGCATCAGCGGCGTCTCACCCAACCGACCTCGCTAACCGCGACTGGAATGTCACTTCTGGTGGGTGACATAGGTGGATCTAGGTTGTCCTGGTTTTTGTACAGTCCGAAACTGATGCGTTTCATTCCCTGACTTCTTTAAAGGGTTGGCCAACCCTTTGAAGAAGTCAGGTGAGGAAACGCATTGGAGATTAAATAAACAGTGTTTTTACTGGCATTACACTATTGTTTTTTTTCCTTCCCTTTGGCAGAGCGGTTATTGCTAGTTAAGATTGGTTTTGCCTGTTAGAAATTCTGAAGGACATTTCTTGTTTGTTTGTGGTCTTGCCTGTTGTCACAAGTGATATGGGAGAAGCGCTGTAGTAAGGAGGAATATGCTATTACAGCAAGTTTGCTTTTCATTTCAAAGATAAGCCATTCAGTCCAGTGAGGGTCAGTGGATTGGGGCAGTTTGGAGCCCGAGGTGTTGTGGAGCCAAGTCTGCATGCTTCTTACACTAACTGTAAATGTATATACCACCTGGTGATCTGATTGGGAAGATGGACACATAACACTATTGTTTTTGGACTTTTCATCAGTGTTTTCAGTGGAATGGACTTTATTTACATATCTATATAGTTTTATCAGTTGTATGTTGTGTTATTATTGTATGCGCACTGCTAATGGTCTAGAGATATACATATTTGCACCCCCATGGAGAAAAGCCCAGTGCTGTGGGGCTGCATATATGTGTACTGTTGGCGGGAAGGGGTTAAATTCTATGTTGACTTTAAATTTTGTCTTGGCTGTTATTGTGTTTTAGGTTTAATTTTTTTGTGTTAGAGATAAGGACGAGAGTTAGAGGCAGGTTAAATGTTAAAGCACTATTAAACCCAAAAATAAAAATGTATTAAATTGCAGCTTACCAATTCTTAGATGTGTTAGCTGAATTTATTTCCTTTTATAAGGCATAATACAGCTTTCTTTCCTTTATTTTTGCCTGGCCATTTGACCAGTAAGTCTGATATTTTTCAACATCATTTACCAAACCAAGCTATCCAGACAAAGCAGCAGTTAGAGAGTTGAGACAAACCATTTACCATTGACAGGGGTGCTTACAATGGACAGCTTTTATTTGTTTATTTAAAAATTTTTCCTAAAATGAAAAAAAAAAAACAAAAAACAAAAAACCTGCTTTTAAAGTGTTAGCTGGAGTTCATCTTTAATTCATTATGTTCATCTACTGTAAATCTGCTAGTCTACCCTTTGCCCAGAATGACAAAGCTGCTGTACAAAGGTTTCTCAATAGCTCTTCTATCAAGGGTGGAAATATGTTACTGGTGGGATCATCAGGTAAAATAAAGGGAAAAAAGCCAAAAAAGAAAACAAATTCAGCCACCACATTTAAGGATTGGTAAGCTTCAATACATTAAATTTTTCTTTTTGGGTTTAATGTCACGTT